TTATGTGTGTTTTTTTTTACTTTTTTTTTGCTGTTAGGAACTTTTAAAGTACTAAATAATATATTATAATTTTTTTGACAATCTGATACACATACCTATTTGTTTTTGCAATTTTTTTACGCGAATCAAAATTTATAGTTTATCTGAATTATTATTATCTGCGAATATTATTCTATTACAAAATAGTAATAACTAATGTAGCTGGTATAAAAAAATTGATCACGATGACTGAGTAACTTAGTAACAGTGCATATATAGTAGTATTTCATAATTTATTTTTTGTTGGGGCTTCACACTATTACTACAATTTTAGGTTATCTAACCAAAAGCCTCACAAAAGAGTCTTTTAGGAGCTTAAGACTGTTCAATTTAATAACCAAATAAGAATAAGTTCCATTTAAGAACCTCTTAAAAGAATCCGTAATTACTATTATTTGTTAAGAAATGGGCATGCAGTTAGAAGCATTCTTAAAATAGTCTTGCACGAATGAGCTTTAGTATAAAGGTACCTCTGTGTTCTAAGAAGTGTTAAAAAATGATTTTAGGAGTGTTTTATAATAATTTATTTAAAATTTTTATTTTAATTATATTAAACAATCTTAAAAAATTTTTAACTTTGAAAAAATAATTTTGTTTTATTTATTTATTAATATTTATTATTTAACATATATATATTAATTGTTTATTTTAAATTAAAAGAAAACACAACGAAGTTTTTGCACTGCTCGACTTTAAGAGTTTTGTCCAGATAAGGCGAGTAAATAATATATTATCATTTTTTTGTACCCCAAATACAACACTTAATAAAATGTTTACTTTACCGACTTTCAATAATTTTGTAAATGAAGTCTGAAAAATGATTTGTGTTTCATGTGTATGAACTATTACATGTATCATATTCATATAATACCATGTGATATGATCTGTCCAACTTTAAGCTCCTAGAAGACTGCTAAAAAGAACTCTATTTAAACACTTTTATTAAGTCCGCTTTGAATTCGTTTGAATTTTTTTTACCAGGTCGTTACTCGAGATCTCACACCATCACTTTGTTATTCAATTAAAGCTATAGTATCCTAAACTAAACTAAAATTTTATAAATCATTACTATTAGAAAATTGATGTATTAATAAAAAAATAATTGAACAAAATCTAAAATTCCAGCGTAAGATATCAGTGTATTTATAGTTTTTCAGTTTTTTTAAATATGTGTGTGATAAAAATTTATATAAACATGTCGTTGAAGAAAATAACTTAAGTAACTTTTTCTAAGGCTTTAAGTTAGACGTTAAACTCAACTTTATGCAGAGACAGGGACAGTTTGTTTGAAATTGTGTAAAAATTTCAATGGTAACTATGAGAAACTGTTTTTCTTTTTTTGATTTCTCAAAAATTATTAACGGGAGGTGTAGGGCATTATTGCAACTATTCATTGAGCTTTCTCTAGCGCATTAAAACTGATTCTTCTATATGGATCGGTACGATAATATATATGGATTTACGACAAAGAAGAGGGCATTATCTGTTAGAATTGTTACATTTTGTGCATGTACCTATGTTAATTTTACAATAAGAAAATATAACACCAATTCAAAGATTCAACAAAATGTTATATCAATCAGCTGAAATTGAATATGTCAGTTTTTGGTATATATATTTCTTTTATTTAAATTTATTTCAATATGTACATGTACATATACACATAGATTCACAAAATCTATATTTAAAATAAATGTTATATAGTTAAAATTTTAAATTTAAAAAATAAATAATATTATTAAATCTATTACGCTTTAAGTTCCTTGATCACAAGCTACTTCTATTTACATGACATTATAAAATATACTATACATATTTATACATCTAACCTATTATTATACATATTTTAATAATAGATTATATATTTTAAGTCCAAAGCAACCCGAAGTTGGTTTCAACAGATTTTTGCAAATGTTTTGAAAATTAAATGAATGGCAAAGAAACTTATTACTTTTTTCATAAAGTTTGTGCCGAAACATAATATCTCCCTATCCCTCAGACTTGGTGCTTTGCAACTTTTTTTTACAATATTTCCCAAAATGAAAAACACAGCCAAAATACAAAGTTTTTCAACAATAGATGAGGTAAGGACTAATCGCACATAGTCTTTTGAGAGCAAAAGAATATAAGGTGTTTTAACAGTGGTTCTTAAACTAGAAAAAACAAACTGGTGGCATTAAAGCATAATACCAAAGAGGGTCTACTTTGTGAGGCATAGAATGCACATTAGAACAAAAAATCAATACATTATTGAATCTTAGTTGACTGATATGGATGAATGTTTTAATATACTTAATTTTAAATATGCATTTTTATTGTCCCCACCTAATTCGTCGTACCAAAATACATGTTGTTATTTTCGAAATTTGTTGTTGACCAAATTTAAGATAATATAGATGAATTTTAGATCATTTTAACAAAGCCTGATAGAACACACAGTATAATCAATTTATTTTAGTTATTCAAAATTTTGGGGTGAATCCATAGAATATTGTTTCTTATATGTTTTTTTTCTGTAGAACTTCTACCTTAGTAAGAAATAAGAAATATTAGTTGACATGAAAATATGGAGATAATAGTTCTATAGTTTGACTACTAATATTTTTTATAAATTGAGTTAAAAATACTCTGTTGTGATGGTTTAGGTAATTATTAAAGAGCTGTATCGTTTGCTATTTTATTTATTTTTCAAGCTTTCAGTTGAGTGGTAGAACAAATATATATAACCCGATGAAGGAAAGATAATTTTGAGGAATATAGAAGTGTTTAGATTTACATAGAAATATAATGTTAAATTTTAAGGAGCGCTTATTATGAATTTGAATAAATTATAATTACAATATATATATGAGTATTGCTTTATAAATTAATTTATTATTTATTTTTATTATTATTCATTTAGCATGAAAACTAAATTGATGGACTTGAATGATATATTGGCAATAAAATAGAGCCTAACATCAAGGACACGCAAACAGCTATTTATGCTTAATGCATTTAAATAATTTATAAAAATTTTAATATTTTTATTTATTATCATGAGTTGATTAGTTGAATAAAAAGATTATATATGTATTATATATTAAGGCGCACACTATTACACTCACACATAAAACCCTTTAAAATATCCTTTAGATGTATATTTTATTAAAATTTGATATATGTGAAGTTTTAGGAAATCTATTTAGGAAAGTTTATTTATTTTTGGATTATAATAAAAATATACGCAGCAATATATTTATGTATTTGTTGTTAAGTTTTGAACTTAAATATTAAAAAAATAAGATCATATAAGAAAATATTTATATATGTGTTACATATTACAAACGATGATTAACATATGTGCATGTATAAAATACAAATAGAGAAACTTATATACATACATATATATAAAATATTTAAGTGTATCGATTGATTAATTATATATTAATGAAAATGCAAAATTTTATTAATATGCTGCGCTTAAAAAATTATAAAATATAAATCATTGCAAAAAAAAAAATTAGCAAAAATTTGCAAAATTATTGAAAAGTATTTCAAATTGTACGGCCAAGAGATATGTAAGAAAATATTTATTTTAAAATTAAAAAAAAAAAAAGAATAATAGATTGTATAAATGGTAATGGTTGAAAGTGATGGAAAAACACGATAGCAACAAAAAGAAAAATAATTTATATGAATTAAATAATATATATTTATTTATGTATATGTATAACCATATATATATATATAATAATAATAATAATAGCAGAGAGATAAATACTGAAATCGTAATAATATATTAATTGATATATACGTGTATACTATAATATAATAAAAACATAATAAATATATTATAAACTTAAATTTTTTATTATTTCATTTAAAAGAAACAATCTAATATTATTTGAAAAAGTACACAATTCCAAGTAATTATTCAAACTTCAGGTCAGGATCTGTCATTCAAATCTGTAGACCGGATTAAGTTGTGGATTAAGTTGGACTACAATTAGGTCTCTGATTAATAAATGGTTTTCTGCTAAAAAAAGTCGCTACTGGCGCGACATTTCAGCTAACCGTCAGGCTAAAAAGCTGGTTTATCCGCACAGTTATGGTAAGGTATCCTTCTTCAGCAGAACAGAGTTGAGGTTGCTGGTGGGATATTTAATGGGTCACCATGAACTGCGTTATCACCTTAACGATATGGGTCTGTCCGAAGAGATAGATTGTCGAATCTGCTTAGAAGCCTTGATCTAGGCCTGGAGGAGGTCACTGGGTCGGGAACTACTCTACTCTTTTGACATTAGGAAGTCCACAACGGCCGACATTCTGTTGCAGCATCAACCAAGGTCGTAGTGCTCCGCTTCTTTTGGGAGTTGGTACACTGTTTATTCCTATTCCTTTGTCAAACATTGGAAGCGGAAGCAAGCTCAAATAAAATAAAACAAATTTGTCATAAATTGAACCGAAATGAAAGTGATTAATTAAACTAATAAGGCTGAAATTATTCACTCTTTTTATTGTAAAAAATAAATTTATATTCAAATTTGGATTAAAATAAATTTATTTCTCATCAAGCTTGATATTTGCTTACATTTATACTCCTCTGTACATTGTCAATCCAGTAACTTTATAGAAACTTGCTTTCTCCGTTTTCCTTGCTAGCGATCTAACTTCTTGAATCTATCGAAAACATAACAATTATACTGGTAAGATGGTAATCCTTAGACGATCCATTTATACACCATTTTTTATATTAAAAATTATTAGATATTAATATAAAATAGGCATATTTATGTCACACTAAGTGCTTCTAATAAAGCTAAAGCGGACTGAGAGCGGTAGGGGTTTTCTCGGGTCTGCGATGTCTGAATTGTTACTAATATATTGAAAACTTTTACCTCCGGATTTATTTTTTTTCAGTGCTGGATCCATATATGCTTAGCCTACCACTGAAATGAATCAAATAATAAATAATTCTACATATATCACTTTAGCATAATACAGACGAATATAAAATTTTGTCCTTTACTGGCTCCCTTAGTCTACCACTAAAATGGATTAAATATAAAGTAAATCTATATACATTTCCTTATCGTAATGCTAAAAAATGGACTTTATTCTTTAGCAAATAGTTTCCAAAATTAAGTACAATTAGCTTCTAATAAGCTCCTAATCAAGTAAAACATTGCAACTTTTATAAATATTTTATACTATAACTAACACTAACGGAATATAAGGATTTAATTCTTACGAACAAATTCTCGAAAGTTCCCTTGTTGTAGAGTCTCTAATATAAGATGACGACAACATTCTCCTTCTGATCCAGAGCAAAACAGTCACAAATAATATGGCTATAACTTTGATTTTATCACAACAGTCCATTATTTGCTTTGGTGTACAAGGCCGCCACTCCAAACTCCAACCTAGGTTCATATCGTCCCAAACACAAACAACATTTACAAAACCAATCACTTGACATATAATGTTCATAAAAAATTAACAACTTTGTTGATTTTAATTTTATTTAAATTTATTTTTCAAATATTTTAATATTAATATTCCGTTAAACATTCATGAACCTCTATATGTGCTATAGCCGAATGGATTTAAAAGCAAAGGAATGTGATAATGTTGACCCTTCGCACATTCAGCTATTATTTCGATAAAAGGATAAAAGCTTTTCACTTGATTTTGTTCGAAATATGGACGGACATTGAAATGTAATTTATAGATGCCAGTTTGAAATTGTTCCAAACTTATAAGTTGCGTTACTCTGCCATCATCATCTGTAGAAGCCTATAAACACAACATAAATACATTTGCTTAAAATAGTTATTACTCACTTTAATATATTAATGTTTTGTTGCAATTAAGTAATGTATTGCATCACTTATTTCTCTTTAATACAATGACGTAATGAAAAATAATTATAGAATACCTGATTTAATTCCTGCCACTGATTATTCTCCAAGCGATAAATTATGATCTTTACATTAGCCGCTGGTTTACCAAGTGAAGTGTCTAGAATATGTGAAGATATTGTACGTGAATCTGTTGCATTATCTGTCATATTCTGTTTATTTGAAATAAAACTATTAAAATGCTATCTTTATTAAATAAATAATATATTTCTTACTATGGTTTCCATGCGCAAACGTACACGCTCCCAACCAATGCTCATTTTAAAATGTTATTGTAAAAATAGTTTTCACATGTTCAACTAGAGATATCTTTTTATCTTCATATTAATATCTCATAATCTATAGAGATAATTTTTTTCATTGTATACAATTACCCTACACCATATAAAACAATATGTACTAAGCACTATTAAATATAAATTCATGTGTGGAAGTGTTTATATATCTTTAAGAGAGTGTCTATACACCTATAGTGTTTGTTCAAAACCCTAAAAAAGTAAACAAAGGTCTTAATATTACAAAAGGTTTTAAAACGTGAATAATTTGGAGTTAATTAATTCATTAATTAGTTGATTGGTTTCTTAATTAATTAGTTCATTACTTTAATTTTGAAGTGAGCACTATACTTACTCATTAACTATTCTAAACGCTAACTGTAATCAATAGAATAACTAGAATACTGATCCATTGCGTTATACTTTATCAGTATACATTTAAGTAAATATTTCATCATATTTATCTTAAAAGATACATTTTTTCTAAGAATAACAGTGTTGAGGCTGCTAACGGGTTATTTCATGGAAAACTTTAGCCTACGGTATCAACTAAACATGACGAATCTAATTGAGATGACGGAATGCTATATTTGTCTACGTTTTTAATTCATTTTTATATAATATATCTGACCAGATTTGTCCTAGGTTAGTATGTAGATAATATGTAATACCAAAAAACTATAACTGGCTATAAGATAGCCAGTTAAAAAATTATACTATTTGCTTTTATGAATGTGTGGATAACAATCATACATATCAAACCAGATTTATGAGATTATCGGGGACAACTGCTCCCAGTGGCGTAACTACATTTTTTAGGCCTGTAAGCAAATTCTAACTAAGGGGCCCCTACCAACATACTAAGGGGCCCCTCTTTTTATACTCTTTACACGAAAAAATGTAAAAAGGGAATATAAGGTTTGTCAAGACTTTCGTAACGCATTAAAGGAAACTTCGGAAATACCATTAAGTATATATCAGTATACTTTTACAGTTCAAACTACTCTCTCAGCTTTTGAACTCTTCGAATAAAACTTTATACACATACTTTTCGGGAGCGCACCCTGTTCACCATTTGATTTGATTGAAATTGGACGTCTATTTTTTGTAGCTGTGATATAAACTTAACAATCGTATATGAGGTTTCTCCGTTTTTAATAAAGGTATTCAAATGGAATATGGTGTATACAGTACTGATATTTGCAAAAGACAACGTATAAAATTATTTTCAAATGGGTTTAAATTTAGATATAGCTTCCATATAAACTCTCGATCAAGACACATATTTTTCTTAGAAAAACTTTTTTATTTCATAAATAGGTTTAATATTTTATTTGAAGTACATACATATTGTGTACTTTAAATTTTAAATTTGAAGTACATACATATTATGTACTTTAAATTTAAAATTTACGTATCTTTTATAAAATGCAATATGAAGTTATTCCAACAAAAAACGTTTCGTCCCACTTTTGAAAATTTATTAAAAAGAAATACAATGAATACAAAAATTTATAGTGGGGCCCCCTAAATTCG